GGCTCATGCCTGTAATCCTAGCACTTTGGTAGGATGAGGCGGGTGGATCACTTGAAGTCAGTCTGCTAGGGATGCAGAGATGATTTAACATAGGTAAGTCAATACATGTTATCCACCAAATAAACAGAATTAAAACCAAAAATTATATGATTATCTCAAAATACACAGAAAAATCATTTGGCAAAATCCAGCATCCCTTTATGATTAAAATCCTCAGCAAAATTGGGATAGAGGGAACATATTGTAAGGTCATAAAAGCCATCTATGACAGGCCAGGTGTGGTGGCTCACGCCTGTAATTCCAATACTTTGAGAGGCAGAGGTGGGCGGATCACCTGAGGTCAGGAGTTTGAGATCAGCCTGGCCAACATGGTGAAACCTCATCTGTACAACAATACAAAAATTAGCCAGGAATGATGGCGGGTGCCTGTGGTCCCAGCTACTGGGGAGGCTGAGTCCCAGAGGTGGAAATTGCAGTGAGCGGAGATTGTGCCGTTGCACTCCAGCCTGGGTGACAGAGCAAGACTCCGTATGGAAAAAAAAAAAAAAAAAAAAAAAAAACCACTATGATAAACAGCCAACATTACACTGAACGGGAAAAAGTTGGAAGGATTTTTTCTGAGAACACAAGACAATAATGCCCACTCTCACCACTTCTATTCAACATAGTAATGGAAGTCTTAGCCAGAGCAATCAGAGTAAAGCAAAAAAAAAACAGCATCTAAATTGGTAAAGAGGAAGTCAAACTGTCACTGCTTATCAATGATATAATTGTATAGCTGGGAAACCCTAAACACTCATCTAAAAAGCTTTTAGGGCTGGGTGCAGCGACTCAAGCCTGTAATCCCAGCAATTGGGGAGGTGGAGGCAGGAGGATCACCTGAGGTCAGGAGTCCAAGACCAGCCTGGCCAACGTGGTAAAACCCCGTCTCTACCAATAATACAAAAATTAGCCAGGCGCGGTGGCAAGTGGGTGTAATCCCAGCTACTAGGGAGGCTGAGACAGGAGAATCACTTGAACCCAGGAGGTAGAGGTTGCAGTGAGCTGAGATCATGCTACTGCACTCCAGCCTGGGCGACAGAGTAAGACCTTGTCTCAAAAAGAAAAAAAAAAAAAAAAAAGAAAAGAAAAAAAAGCTTTTCGATCTGATACGTAAATTCAGTAAAATTTCAGGATACAAAATCAATGTGCACAGATTAGTGGCACTGGTGTACACTAACAGTGACCAAACTAGGACTTAAATTAAGAACTCAACTCATTTAAAAAGAGCTGCAAAAAAAATAATAATTAGGAATATGTCTAACCAAGCTGGTGAAAGATCTCTACAAGAAAAATTACAAAATGTTGCTAAAAGAAATCACAGACAATGGAAACAAATGGAAACATATTTCATGCTTATGGATGGGTAGCAATCCTATTGCAACAATGATAAACCAACCAAAAGCAATCTTCAAATTCAATGTAATTTCCATCAAAATAGCATTATTATTCTTCACAGAACTAAAAAAAATCCTAAAATTTATATAAAATAAAAAGAGAGCCTCCATAGTTAAAGCAAGAAAAAAAAAAAAAAAACCCAAAAAAAACCAAAAACACACACACAAAAATCTGAAGGCATCACATTATCTGACTTCAAACTATACTACAAGGGTATAGTTACCAAAACAGCATTGTATGGGTATAAAAATAGACATTTAGACCAATGAAACAGAATAGCGAAACCAGAAATAAACCCAAATACTTACAGCCAACTGATCTTTGACAAAGTAAACAAAGATATAAAGTGGGGAAATAACACCCTATTCAATAAATGGTGCTGGCATAATTGGGAAGCCACATATTGAAGAATAAAACTGGGTCTTCGGCTGGGCACAGAGGGTCATACCTGTTATCCCAGCCTTTAGGGAGGTTGAGGTGGGTGGATCACGAGGTCAGGAGTTCAAGACCAGCCTGGACAAGATGGTGAAACCCCGTCTCTACTAAAAATAGAAAAAAAATTTAGCTGGGTATGGTGGCGGGTGCCTGTAATCCCAGCTACTCGGGAGGCTGAGGCAGAGAATTGCTTGAACCTGGGGGGCAGAGCTGAGATCACGCCACTGCACTCCAGCCTGGGCGACACAGCGAGACTCCGTCTCAAAAAAAAAAAAAAAATATGGATCTGCATCTCTCACCTTATAAAAAAATTAACTCAAGATGGATCAAATACTTTAATCTAAGACCTGAAACTACCCGAATTCTAAAGCCTTGGAAAAACTCTTCTAGACATTGACTTGGGCAAAGAGTGCATGACCAAGAACCCCAAAGCAAATGCAACAAAAACAAAGACAGATGTGACTTAAACAATTCTCAAAAGAAAATATACAAATGGCCAACAACAACAAAAAATACTGAACATCACTGATGATTAATGATCAGGGAAATGCAAATCAAAACCACAATGTGATACCACCTTACTCTTGCAAGAATGATCATAATTGGCTGGTCATGGTGGCTGATGCCTGTAATCCCAGCACTTTGGGAGACCAAGACTGGTGGATCACCTGAGGTCAGGAGTTCCAGAGGAGCCTGGCCAACATGGTAAAACCCCGCCTCTACTAAAAACACAAAAATTAGCAGGGTGCGATGGCTTATGTCTATAATCCCTGCTGCTCCGGAGGCTGAGGCTGGAGAATCGCTTGAACCCGGGAGGCGGAGGTTGCAGTGAGCCGAGATCGCACCACTGCACTCCAGTCTGGGCCAGAGAGCGAGACTCCATCTCAAAAACAAACAAACAAACATACAAACAGAAAAGACCATAATTAAAACATCAAAAAATGGACCAGGCACGGGTGGCTCATGCCTGTAATCACAGCAAACTCCCTCTCGGAAAAAAAAAAAAAAAAAAAAGAAGAAAAGAAAAGAAAAGAAGGGATAAAACCCCAAATGTTGTGTGTCCTCACTTATGAGTGGGAGCTAAGCTATGAAGATGCAAAGGCATAAAAATTATATAATGGGGCCAGGCGCGGTGGCTCACGCTTGTAATCCCAGCACTCTGGGAGGCCGAGGCAGGCAATCACCTGAGGTCGGGAGTTCAAGACCAGCCTGACCAACATGGAAAAACCCTGTCTCTACTAAAAATACAAAATTAGCCGGGCATGGTGGCGCATGCCTGTAATCCCAGCTACTTGGGAAGACTGAGGCAGGAGAATCGCTAGAACCTGGGAGGCGGAGGTTGCGGTGAGCCGAGATCGCGCCATTGTACTCTAGCCTGGGCAACAAGAGCGAAACTTTGTCTCAAAAAAAAAAAAAATTAAAAAATTAAAAATTAAAAAGAATTATATAATGGACTCTGGACATACAGCGGGAAGGGTGGGAGAGGGAGTGAGGGATGAGAGACTACATATTGGATACAGTGCACACTGCTTGGGCGATTGGTGCACCTAAATCTCAGAAATCACCACAAAAGAACTTATCCATGTAACCAAATACTACCTGTACCCCAAAACTACTGAAATATAACAATTTAAGACAAAAATAAAACCCCCCAAACCCCATAAGTTGAAGTTTATATGCTTTGGCTTTTTTTTCCAGAAATGGTCTCACTCTGTCACCCAGAATGGAGAGCAGTGGCTTGATCAGGGCTCACTGCAGCCACAACCTCCTGGGCTCAGGCAGTCCTCCTACTTCAGTCCCTGAATAACTGGTACTACAGGTTCAGGCCACCATGCTAAATTAGCTGGGCGTGGTGGTGGGCGCTTGTAATCCCAGATACTCGGGAGGCTGAGGCAGAAGAATCGCTCGAACCCAGGAAGGCGGAGGTTGCAGTGAGCTGAGATCAAGTCATTGCATTCTGGCCTGGCTGGCAGAGCAACATTTGTCTAAAAACAAAAAAAGATAAAAATAAAGATTGTTTCAAGTTAAAAAAAAAAAAATCTAATAAAATAAAATAGAAAAAGTTAAAAAATTATAAGAGATTATAAGGCCGGGTGCCATGGCTCATGCCTGTAATCCCAGCACTTTGGGAGGCTGAGGTGGGCGGATTGCCTGAGGTCAGGAGTTTGAGACCAGCCTGGCCTCAACATGGTGAAACCCTGTCTCTACTAAAAAAACAAAAATTAGCCAGGCATGGTGGCAAGCGCCTGTAATCCCAGCTTCTAGGGAGGCTGGGGCAGAAGAATTACTTGCACCCGGGAGGTGGAGCTTTCGGTGAGCTGAGATCGCGCCACTGCACTCCAGCCTGGGCGGCAGAGGGAGACTGTCACAAACAAACAAACAAACAAACAAACAAAAAAGAGATTATAAAATTTATGTGAAAGTTAGAGTGTTCAAAAATGACAAATTTGATGGATTTATTTATAAGATTTTACTAAAATTAGGTTTAGGTTTTTTTTTTGTTTTATTTTTTGAGATGGCGTTTCACTCTTGTTGCCCAGGCTGGAGTGCAATGGCCCGATCTCAGCTCACTACAACCTCCACCTCCTGGGTTCAAATGATTCTCCTGCCTCAGACTCCTGAGTAGCTGGGATTACAGGTGCCCATCACCACACCTGACTAATTTTTGTATTTTTAGTGGAGAAGGGGTTTCACTACGTCGACCAGGCTGGTCTTGAACTTCTGACCTCAGGTGATCTACCCGCCTCGGCCACCCAAACTGATGCCATTAAAGGAGTAAGCCATCACGCCCGGTCTTCAGTATTGATAATACACTATTACTAAAGTAAAAATTGATTTACTGTTGAACAAAAATTTTATGTATTATTAACATGGCAGTAAACTATATTTGTTCACATTTTGAATACATTTAAAAAGAGAGTAAAGAAGAGAAAGAATTTTCCCATGCTCTGGGGTGGGCCCGGCTCAGCTCAGGGAGGAAGCCCTGCCTGGAAAGGCTGCAGCCTTTTGTTATCAGAAGCATGGGATAACATCTTCTGTCACTCAGGGCCTGAAGGGGCGGGGCCTTAAACATCATCCAATCAGGGACGCTGGGCTGGGACCGTCCAATCAGGCATGCAGCTGGAGCAGACAGGGCGACTTCCGGGATGTGGTCGGACCTTTGGCTCTCGCCGCAGCCGGAGGTCAAGGTGTGGTGCTTGCTGCTGTGTGTCTTCTCCTCCTAGAGGCCCAGCTTCTGTGGTCCTGTGACCTGCAGGTATTGGGAGATCCACAGCTAAGTCGCCAGGACCCCCTGGAAGCCTAGACATGGTGAGTGTGCCGGGTCCGACATCCGGAGAGAGTGGCCGGGGCTGGTTGGAACCGGCTGTGGCGGGACTCAGGCCTCCCCGCAGTCAGCTCCACAATCTGTGCCCGAAGTTCTCCTTGCCTAGCTCCACCTCAGTCCGCTTCAGCCATAAGATGGCGGCTGCGCTGACACCCGGCCCCCGAGTGTCCTGTCTCTAACCTGCGCTATAACTGTGCCCTGGCCTGGAGACCTCTTGGGGCAGCTCTGCACCCGCAGCGCGGAGTCTCTCCCATATGTGCAGGGACCATGGGAGGGTCGTCAGAGGAGAATCCTGACTCCGCGTGTGGGTTCATGAATGGGAAGAGGTTTGGTTCGTGAGGTTCCCAGCTCCTGTTTCCTCTTATTAAAAATTTACGGAAGTCAGCGCACAAATATAAAATAATTTATCCAAAGAGTGATTCCAAAATTGTAGAGCACCCAGCTGTGGGTTGTAGTTTATGGTCTATTGAAGGGATTTGACGGAAGAGTTTTATAAGGCGCATAATGAAGAAAACCAAATTCAATAATTGGTTAGGTACAGTTAGGTAGTTTCTTAGTTTGTACTATCAAGATGGAAATTTCTTGATTATGTAGTCAGAGATTAATTGGCAGTTTATAGTTTCTTAAGCCTGAATTTTTTTCCCCAATATAGTAATTTACAAAAAGTGCATTTGAATTAGTTTGTTTTTTTGAGACAAAGTCTCACTCTGTCGCCCAGGCTGGAGCGCAGTGGCACCGTCTGGGCTCACTGCAATCTCCGCCTACCAGGTTCACGTGGTTCTCCTGATTTAGCCTCCCAAGTAGCTGGGATTACAGGCATGCGCCACCACGCCCCCTTAACTTTTTTTTTTTTTTTTTTTTTTTTTGAGAAGGAATCTGGCTCTGTGGCCCAGGCTGGAGTGCAGTGGCGCCATCTCGGCTCACTGCAAGCTACGCCTCCCGGGTTCACGCCAGTCTCCAGACTCAGCCTCCTGAGTAGCTGGGACTACAGGCACCCGGCATCACGCCCGGCTAATTTTTCTATTTTTAATAGAGACAGGGTTTCACTGTGTTAGCCAGGATGGTCTCGATCTCCTGACCTCGTGTTTCACCCGCCTCGGCCTCCCAAAGTGCTGGGATTACAGGTGTAAGCCACCGCGCCTGGCCGGATTAGGTTTTTTAAAAGTAGAATTTAGGAACTAGAGCCTCTTCAGTCTAACTGCCTATTTGCACACCCCACAAGGAACTGCTGTTTCCTTGCATTTTTCACATGTGTCCCAAGCAGGGCCTCAAGTCTATCCCCCATCCCCTATTTCTCCAGCCTGACTCTGGCTTGCAGTAAAATACTTAATTTCCTCTTCCTTCTGACATTCCCAAATGCCAGTTTCCCCTCCCTTATTCATATTATCAACTATTTGTCCTTTAGTGTACATTTTGATACCTGTTTTAATCATTTTTTTGACAAAGCATTTGATGGCACATTTAAAAAAAATTGTTTTCTGTTTGTAAATATTTTTTCTTCTGTTTTCCCTAGACACAGATATCAGAATGTTTTGGGGGTCAAGGTTTCCCTTTGGAAACTTTATAGGGAGATGTGTCCTCAGCTACCCTTCAATTTTTTTCTTGGACCTGAGATTCAGTACTGTCTGGGGAAAAACCAGGATACCCGCCATGGCTATGTCTGCGAGAGTGTCTAGTGAATATCAGTTCCTGGGTCATTTTCTCCCCTAAGACAACCTGAGGTATGGAGTGGAGCCTCTTAAGAGAGCAGGTGTTGGCCGGGCGCGGTGGCTCAAGCCTGTAATCCCAGCACTTTGGGAGGCCGAGACGGGCGGATCACTAGGTCAGGAGATCGAGACCATCCTGGCTAACAGGGTGAAACCCCGTCTCTACTAAAAAAAATACAAAAAGCTAGCCGGGCGACGTGGCGGGCGCCTGTAGTCCCAGCTACTCGGGAGGCTGAGGCAGGAGAATGGCGTAAACCCGGGAGGCGGAGCTTGCAGTGAGCTGAGATCCGGCCACTGCACTCCAGCCCGGGGACAGAGCGAGACTCCGTCTCAAAAAAAAAAAAAAAAAAAAAAAAAGAGAGCAGGTGAATGCCCTTTGACTGAGAGGCATCTTCTGGTGCGCTGTTTTTTTGGAAAGCTACCCCCTTGAGATACTAATATTGTCTTTACCCAACCCAGCTTCCATTTCTTGGAGACGCGTTGCTGTTCAGACAATCAGATGCTGGTAGTGAAGGGGAAACCAAAATAATTTTTGCCCCTGGATTCTCTTAGGGGACAGAAAAATAGTGATAGAAAAATGGTAAAAAGTTTGTGAAATAAAATAGCACTCCAAAGACAAAGAAAAAAACTGATCCCAGTGAGATGGTGCAAGAACTTGCAAAGTGAAATATACCTGGGGCACTCACTGGGGCAGAGTTTGTTCAGAGTCTCCTGAGAGAATGATTATTGAGCACTTAAGTGAACAGGATGGGGTGGGAGAATCTCTAAGGTAATTGGATGGCCTGACTTGACACACGAGTCAGACATATCTGTACCTTGAAATGATTAAGTGATTTCTTCACTTATTTTGACCAGGTTTTTGTGTGTGTGTGTGTGTGTGGTTTTTTTTTTTTTTTTTTTTTGACAGTGTTTTCCTCTGTCACCCAGGCTGTATTGCAGTGGTGCAATCTCTGCAGTGCTACTTTTTGTATTTTTAGTAGAGATGGGGGTTTGCCATGTTGGCCAGGCTGTTTGAGCTCAAAATTCTGACCTCAAGTAATCTGCCCACCTTGGCCTCTCAAAGTGCTGGGATTGCAGGTGTGAGCCACTGTGCCCGGCTGACCTCAGTTTTTTAACTGTAAATTGCATTTTATTAGTAGGGTTTGAAAGGTAAGAAAATATTTACAAAGGGCATAAAAAAGGTGAGTTTCAGAAAATAATACCTAATTATATATTTGTTGAAAATTCTCATTCACCTTTTTCTCAGAGTGAATTTAGAAGTTTTCTCAGGTTTGTTTTGTTTTGTTTTGTTTTTTGTTGAGACAGAGTCTCACTCTGTCACCCAGGCTGGAGTGCTGTGGTGGGATCTCAGCTCACTGCAAACTCTGCCTCCCAGGTTCATGCCGTTCTCCTGCTTCACTCTCCCGAGTTGCTGGGACTACAGGTGCCCACCACCATGCCCAGCTAATTTTTTTGTATTTTTAGCAGAGACGGGGTTTCACCTTGTTAGCCAGGGTGCTCTCGATCTCCTGACCTCATGATCCGCCTGCCTTGGCCCCCCAAAGTGCTGGGATTACAGGTGTAAGCCACTGTGCCCAGCCTTCTGGTGTGTTTTTTATGGCTGAATGATTTCAAACAGAATTCCATCTAGCTTTTAGAATGTTAGCTACTGAGAAAAAAAATAAGAAAAATTGTTCTTCCATTTCGGCTGTAGAGAATTAATATATTTCCACAAGCAAATGTGGTAGATAATTGGGGAGTTACATAGATTCGTGAAAACATCAGTTTCTTTTTTTGCAGGGTGAATTTGCTAAAGTAAATATCTTTGTTCTATATCCTGTTATTTCGATTTCTGAGTTTAATGCTAATTTTTTTTTTTTTTTTTTTTTTGAGACGGAGTCTCGCTCTGTCACCTAGGCTGGAGTGCAGTGGCCGGATCTCGGCTCACTGCAAGCTCCACCTCCCGGGTTCACGCCATTCTCCTGCCTCAGCCTCCCGAGTAACTGGGACTACAGGCGCCCACCACCTCGCCCGGCTAGTTTTTTTTGTATTTTTTAGTAGAGACGGGGTTTCACCGTGTTAGCCAGGATGGTCTCGATCTCCTGACCTCGTGATCCGCCCGTCTCGGCCTCCCAAAGTGCTGGGATTACAGGCTTGAGCCACCGCGCCCGGCCTTAATGCTAAATTTTATGTGATGAAACTTGGTACCTCCTAGAAGTGTTCCCATATAACTAATTGTTTACCACATGATTTTTAATACAAAAAGTAAAATAATACTTTATTGTCCAAAAGAAATAAATACCTTTCTTTCTCTTACTGAGGTACAAAATACAAGCACCTTAAAATTTTCTTATATGTTTTTGGATCATTTTGCTGGATTTTTTCAAACACTTAGTTTCAAAAACTAAGTGAATGACTCTGACATGGTAATTAAAGCTTGAGACCAATGACTGCAAACTGAGGTTAATTTTGAGCCAGCAAAAGGAGGTTATTAAAGACCCAGTTAGTTCCTTCTGGAAAGCCTTTCCTGCAGATGTCCCAGCCTGCTTACCCCAGCGGTGGAAGAAGCCTCCATAGTGAGAGAAGCTACAGAGCCCTGCAAAGCTGGGGCCCCACAGGCAGATGCAGTTAAGGTTAAGATAGAAAGGGTTTGGTAGTGTCTTACTGAAGATAAAATTGTTACTGTTTTGAGGCAGTTTTGAGAGGTTTTAAACCAGTTACATGTATGTTAAAAAAAAAAAAATTGAATTCCAAAGGAGTATGGCAACAGGAGGAAGTACCAACTATAAGATCTTTAAGGATTGCAAAGATTAGGCAGAAAAGGGCTTTTTTTCCTAAGGATAAGAAAATAAGTTTAGAAAAAAGGTGAGGGGAATGTTTAAATGAAGGTTGAAATAATCAGGTTTTAGATCAGAGAATGTTTTAACCCTGAAGTCAGTGTGTTCTTAGGAGGGATATAAAATGAGGTTGTATGGTGGCTCAGACTGAGCATAGCTCAGAGTTCAGGAGCCTGTGGGAAGAAAATAAACTTAAGTGAATTTTGATTAAGAAGTATTTTATGTTGACCACTGAAGACAAATTCAGCTGCTTTTTTAATGAGAAAAAGAAGAAAATATGCGAGTGTTTTCCTGGCTGTGTATTGGGTAAGTAAAGAGAGCACCATCTAAGTCATAATGGGAAGGGTGTGTCTTTTCATAAAGTGTTCCTGGAGAACACAGAGGATAGAGAATTTTATTAATCACAGCTGTTTATTGTCTATGTGCTTCATCTTTTCCCACCTCTTTTCTTGGTTCTATACT